TGTCTGCTAATTCTCCAGGCACAAACAATCATATGGAAGATTTCTAGTAAGCAAATAGACGTCGATGGTCAATCGAACGTCTTGTTTTCTACTTTCATACATGCATATATACATTTGCAAATCTTTGATTTACTTCTCGTTTATGTAGTTTTGCAATAAAGGGGCCTTGTGGGTGGTTGATGGGGATTCCAGGCTAGCAGCTACAGATTCTTCACCGGCATCTTCCTTTGTTTTTCCCCAGAGTACAGTATAAAACCCAATAGATATTATTGTTGCTCCAACTAGGCTGAAAAAATGCAAAAAACAAAGACATATTAAGTTGCACTTTCGCTAGGGGAAAAAGATAAAGGAGAGAGGAATGCACGATGACTATATTAGAGTGTCAACAACCCCTCTGAAAGAAAAAAAAAGAGGTTAGTTATGCTTTCTAACCTTCCGAGACAAAGAGTGTCACGAAGGAAAGCAACGCCCATGGCAACGGCAATGGCCATGGACAAAGGCTTGAACATTGTCACAAAGACAGGTCCCTTCAAGCGCAACACCCATGTGTGAACAGCATTGTTCAAACATGACCCAAATAGCCCCTAGACACAGAAAAATCGATACGATTAAGGTGTACTAGTCACATTAGATAGGCACTGTTTTTTTACCATACAATTAGTATCTTACTGAGCAGAGTATGGAGAGCAATGCAATATCAGGTCGCAACTTCCAAGCGCTGGAATTCGGTTCTGTTATCAAGGCAACCGCTGCAGATACGGCAACCACGCATACATTGTAGAAGAAGATCACGGTTAACTCATTCGGGTACTCTTTCATGATTTGTGCCTGTGAAAGTATTACTACTTTATAATTAAAGATCACGATAAGCCGGAAACTGAAGGATTTAGTAAGAATAGGATTTAGGGTTTAAGGTCGGAAACTGAACGATTGTATATTTACCTGAACAATGTACCAAAGTGGTACCAATATGTACTCAGCCGTTAGCAGAAGGCCACCAACTATCCAATTTGGGTTTGTTGGTGTAGAGTTTAGAAGAGGTTGGTGGAGTGAAAGGGACTGTGACCGATTAGCAAACACAATCGAAGGGCCCTTGTAGAGAGTCACCACAAATGCACCTGCAAGTGAAACTATTGTACCCAAGATTTTTGCTTGACTGCTTCTCTTTCTCAGAGCTGCACTTTCCAGCCTTTGGTTGGTAAAAGGAGAGAGAAACAAAAGTTAGTTGTTAATCATTGTCATGGTAAAAGACATCAATCTATGACCTACGTTGCTGAATTCAACTATTAGACGTGAGCTGAAGAATTTTAGGGGATTTAACAAATGAATCACTTAAACGGTAGTGTATATACATTTATGTATGGTAGGACTCCAAAAGTTACGGAATCCAACAATAGGCCTACTTTATTATTAATATAACGAGCAAAAATATTAGATTGATCGTCACACTATCATGTGTTGTCACATATCCATTCATGTTGTCACTTGTATGTTTTATTATAATACCATACTCTAGGTCTGTGAAATATTAACTTTGTCGTTAATTTATATTAATGCTTGGATAAATATAACGAGAAGAAACTTACATACAATGTACGGACCGTCATCAAGGTATATTTATAATAATACAGTGTCCTGTGCAGAGAGACTGACACATTTGCATATTATTAACCCAAAATGTCACAGTAATATCCCGAAGAGAACAAGTAAGTCGTTTACTAATAACACCACATATCATGTAACGGCACCCAAACTTTTGCATTTACCATAGAAGAAAACTAGAAGCTCAAGTAACCAACAATTATTCATCTCACGGTGTGCCTGCCCCACTCGAGAGAAAGAAAACTTAAATAGGAAAAAGCACAAAGAGGGGAAGTGTGATGGGCACACGTCCTCTCCCTTATCATAATTCCAAAAGCAACGTAATTTCTCTGGTCACTTCAACTTTTTTATACAGAAAGCAACATCACAAATTAGGTCACTAGATTTTTATCATTGGAGGGTAAAATAGTAAATGACCCGGGGCGGGGGGGGGGGGGGTGGTGTGGTGTGGGGAATAGGTGGCGTGGGGTTTGGGAGAGAGGAGGGACCTGAAAATGATGGCGAGGATGAAAGTGAAAGCTGGCACAAGGTTGCTGATGGCTGAAGCAAGCGTTGGAGAGCTGTAGTTTATTCCTGTGTACCCCATGATCTGTGATGAACTCCTGCCCAACCCAAGAACACCAAATTATTTAGCACTAAATAGTTAAACAATTAGTTAGTCCTAAAAACTTTAGCGAAGTGATTTGTGTACGCTCATTTTTCTCTTTCTGCACACCTTTGCATACATCCATTCGTTTGATTTATTTAATCCAAACGGCAGTAATAAACAACGGTGTACGTAGGGGAAAAAGAGTGTGCTGAAATCGCTTTGGGAACTTATGGGTTGGTATGATTGTACCCTATGAGTCCAAGAAGAAGAACTTTAGACATTATGGAGAAGTTGAGAGGAGGAAGCACCCTTGATCTGCAAGTTAAGAAAATTAGAGATGCAAGTTAGAAAAATTGATGAAAAATTTGTTAATTTTGACCAATTATATTGTTTACTGAGAAGACGGTATTCTAAACTGCTCTAATTTATGAGACGAGGAAGGAGATTTGAACCTGTGGGAGACGAAAGGAGCTGGGATGAGAACAAAGGCAGCAACAGAGTAAGAGTAGACAACAAAGACATGGTAGCTCATTCCATTTAAAGTGGCAGCTTTGAAGAGTGTGTTTAGGCCGACGTTCATGCACTCCATCGTCACCATCGCCGTGAACGGCAGCACATCTGTGTAACAAGACCTCCCTACTGCTGCCATGGATGCTCCTCTTTCGCTCTCTCTCTGTGTTTCTCTCTATAAAACTCAGAAGGAAACAGAGAGGATGAGATGGTAAAGTTAAATAAATAACGGGTGTTATCTGAGATCACAAAGCTACATCCTTCTTAAAGACAGGAGGCAACTGTAGGTTGACAACGATGTGAAATGTGGAAGGTTGATTGGCCCATTAAGGTCCTCTCTTTCGGAAAGAGATTTTTTCCGGATCTTTTCCTTCAAATTTCAGAAATCAAATTATTTGGATGTTTAAAATTTGATTCATCAGTAAAAAATTATTATAATTTAAAAAGGTTTTTACTAACTTCTTTATTTTTAACCGTTGGATTAAATTTCAAAGATCCAAATCACTTAATTCCTGAACTTTAGAGGAAAAAATCCGAAGATGACATATTTCCCTCTTTTTCTAACAAAAATACAAAACAATAGGAAAAGGAAATGATATGACTCTTTGCTTACATGACTAGGTGGTGCAGTAATGAATATATAAATATTATTGGATTCCACGCAATCTCAGAAAGGTAAAACAAGTTAAAGAACCCGATTTAATGCCGTGTTAAGGGTTTTAGATATGCGGATTAGCGGCTCACTGTTTGTCATCGTTGATAATGTTCTTTGGTCAGTATTGATATAGAAATGGATTGTCTGTCCTCCTATTTTCATATTTTTTTCATGCCCTCCTGTGATGTGTGGTTACAATTAAGCCACATCAATATTTTATATTAATTTTTTATAGCAATAATAAAACAAAAAGTAATAGGAATATAAAATATTGATGTAGCTTAATCGTGACCACACAAACAGAAGGACATGGGGAGAATATGGAAATGGAAGGGCAGACAATCCACCTCCTATTGATATATGTCCCAACTTAACTCAAACAAGCAACCCGTTCTATACATTATTAAGCTTCAAAGAAGCAGGTCATTGATCCATCACTAATTAAGATTAATATTATCTACAACTTAACCACATTTGCATGTAATTATGTGTGAGATTTTATAAAAACTGTCTCTCGATCCAATTTGTAAAAAATCATTCAAAATAAGGCTTATTTTGTTTTATAAATTATTTTATGTGAAGTTTTACATTTTTCAACCGTCTAAACTATGAAGAACATATTCGAACTTGAGTGCAAACTGCTCTAACTATCTTAGTTACGCCTAAATCTGCACCTAAGAAAGCTTTGATGACTAGTATGAAAGGCATCTCTATGATTATGGTATAGGATGCCATTTCTGAAAAAAAAACTATATAATATATGATATGGTCCAATAATGTATGTTTTAAGATCATTTTTCAATTGCGTGCAATAATCGAAGGGGGACAATTGTGCTAGTTTCGTGCTGTTTTGAACTTTTAAGATAACTTTATTTATTTGGGGTTCTAGTGTTTTCTATGATGCAAAATTTTCATTTCATTTTAGAGGACAAAAAATGGTGTGCAATCAGGGGACCCCTTCGATTTATTGGCTTCTTGTTAAGCGCTTCTGAGTCAACATTTATTGGCAACTTGTGACGAGTGACGGGGGCCAATCTTAATTCACAGTTGTTTATGTAGCTCAGGACAAATTTAATCAAATTATTATATGACATTATGCCAGCTTGGTTGAATTGATGTTTGAGAAATGGTAAGGGACTTTTTAAAAGTGAGTCTTTATATTTTCTGTCATCTCATGTTTTTGACACAATGTTTTGTAATTGTTATAGGAATTGACGTTAAATTGTGAGGTAACAGAGATTTCATGAGGAGCCCTACTTTTGAGAAGATTCCCTTAGCATTTATCTTGACGTTTAGGCCTAATTGAGCTTTGTCCTCACAAAGATTAATTTTAGTTCGAACCAACAATAATCACGTTTAGATGGAGCGAACAAAACCGTTGAAAAGCGATTTTATCTATTATTGAGTCTTAAAGTTATTCAAGGTCAAAATAGATTTTATGATGGTTTTTGGTAGATATTCATAAAACTGATTAAGAAATGTGATTTATAACTCACAAATTTTGAGATAAATATAATTGTTGACTTTTGGAAAGATCTGTGGTGCCGATTTAAAGAAATTGAATAAGCTTGGAAGTTGGAAGTTGTTTTACCATTTATTGAGTCTCAATACATAGTTTTATTATATTAGGGGCGGCAATTTGGGTAAAGCTATATAAGTGATAATTATATATTGAACTCGCAATTTATGAGAGTCAAATTGACTCAAACTCCAAACCTTCCACTTACTAAGTGAAAAAAATATCACTAGATCGTAATGCTAGCAGTGATACTTAACAATCCTTAATCAGCTAAATGTTCATTGTACACATAATTTTACATATTTTCAACTTTGTAGCTTTCCAACAGAGGGACCTTTCCCATACCAATAGGCAATGGTTTCATTTGTTCTTCCTTCGATTTACCCCATATTACAGCATAAAACCCCATGGACAGAATTATAGCTCCAACAATACTGCAAAATTAGGAAGATCATAGGGCAATATTTGTTATTCTAACTCCGAAAAGAGTCATTTTGCACTCCTTCCTAGAGAGAGAGAGAGAGAGAGAGAGGGGGGGGGGGAGAGTACCTGCCGAGAGAGAGAGCATCACCAAGGAAAATGACACTCAAAGCAGCAGCAATGGCTATAGACAACGGCTTGAAGATCGATATATAGACAGGCCCCTTCAAGTGCAGGGCCCAAGTGTGAACAAGCGAACCGAAGGAAGAACCAAGGCATCCCTTTAGAAAAGGAGAAAAAGTTCTGAGAGTTATACATTTCCTGAAGTAGCATAGTAGCTCTATGAATCTGACAGTCCTCACTCACGTACCGAGTAAATAATGGCGACCAATGCAATATCAGGCCTTAGCCTCCAGGCACTCAAGTTTGTTTCTGCTATAAAACATACTGGTGCTGATATAATTGTCCCACACAAGTTGTATAAGAAGACTAAAACTATCTCAGCTGGATATGCCTTCATGACATGGGTCTGTAATATGCAGCAGAATGATCAAGGCTAAATTTTCTAATCACCTTTGTTTCTAAACAACAATAGTGAGGCATTAAAAGATTAGGCGAGCATAACTAAACATTAAAGGATTAAGTGAGTAAATTAATGGAGCATGATGAGATATTGCCATCGCATTGACCGTTTTGTGACGAGACATCGACCATATATATGTATAGACTGTTTAGAGTTTAGTGTTTCTGCCTTATTTTTGGCTCCACAATAAAAGTGTGCTACATGGTCCATACATGGTCACAAAACAGTCAATACGAGGTCACATAGTAGGCCTCTAGTTGTACATATATATGTATATACCTGAAGGATATACCAAGTTGAGTAGAGAAGATACTGAAGAGCACATAGGAGGCCTCCAATTACCCAATTTGTTGGTGGTGTGCTTAACATTGGAGATGGATTAGGATCAGATGGAGTGGATAAAATCGTAGGGCCCTTGTAAAGAACCACTACCAATGCCCCTGATATTGATACTAAAGTGCCCATGATTTTAGCTTGGGTGCTGTAACTTCTCAGAGCTAAACTCTCCATCCTAAAATTAAAGAAGAAATTGACATACACAAAAGTACAAGAAATCCATCCACTCATATCATATTAGACAGCACCATCACATCACATAGCTTTATACCTCACAAGAAATTTCATAGAGCATAATATTTTTTTTGTGTTTTAATCATTCAAATAGGAGGCATCTTGTCCATTGTACAACCACTGTTGAAGATATTTGTAAGCCGCTTCTACTTGCAGAAAAATCACAATATATGTACATTCTTGTTTTCTTCTATAATCTTAACAAATTACTTTGCATGCGTGTCAAACTATGATTTGTATGTACAGAGAAGTAACATCTTACAAGTAAGGAGTCAAGCAAAGTCCGTAATGTATGTTTGACATGTACATAGTACAGGGGGAAGAGATAAAATGGAACCTGAAGAAGACGGCGAGAATGAAAGTAAACGCCGGTGTGAGGTTGCTCATAGCTGAATCAAGAGTTGGTGAACTGTAATTTATGCCTATATATCCACATAAATCAGCCAAAAACCTGCTTAGTTGATCAAAATCAAACATAATAACCAACTTAAATTACTTAATTAAACACAAAATTAATCAAAAACCACCATAGCTTTTCATGTGCAGAATTACATATTAATACCCGATCAGTCCGAGGAGGAAAACTTTGAGGAGGAGAGAGAGGTTGAAAGAAGGAAGCCCCGTTCTGCATCGAATTCGAAACGAAGACTCGAATTATCGGAGCATGGTAAATCTGGTATGCAGTGAAGAGATGGATGCTGTTATTACCTGGGATTTGGAAACAAGAAAAGCAGAGGGAGGAGGACAAGAGTGGCAACTAGGTTGGAGTAGACGATGAAAACATAGTAGCTTAGACCTTTTAAGGTTGCTGCTTTGAATAGGACGTTTAATCCCACGTTTGTGCACTCCACCGTAACCATGGCCGTGAACGGCAGAACATCCTTCTGAAACCACCTCCTCCATCCCATCTCTCTCTTAGAATGATTTTGTTTTGCTCCACTAGAACATCCTTATAAGTAGACCTTCTTGACGATCGGTTGGAAACAACCCAACCTTTCCTATCCCTTAGAGCAACTCCACCGTGACAATTAGCCCGTTGGACTGGCGACTTTTCCAACCTAATAGCTAGAGCTGCAAGCTCCAGCCCATGTGTGCGTGGGGATTGAGGGGGCCCGAGTGAGAGGCCCGGCTCCAATCGGTGATCCGAGAGTCTTGGGGCCATGTGATGCAAGCTAACATCATGATGACGTTAGTCATGATTTAAAAAAAATTACGTCAGGCGCGTGTCGTTCACATGTGCGTGGGGGCGCGTCATCGACAACTTTTCAATCGGTAGAGCCCGCAGCACCGAGTTTTGAATTGTTACCATTGTGGGGCATGTGGCGCGACGTCGTCTGTTGGATTTCAATGGATAGCTTATTTGGACCGTTGGATTTCCGACGGTCAAAAAAAAAAAACAATCAAACCTTCCGCCAACGGCTAGATGATGTGGCACAATATCAACCGTTGGATTTGAGATCAACGGTCCACGTTATTCGCCTTTATAAATTAAAAAAAAACAAATAACATTTAAAAATTCTGAAATGTTATGTTGTGCCCGTGGCACAATCTAGAGGGTTGGATTTCAAATTTTTTTTAATCCAACGGTAGAAATTAATTAAGTTAAAAAAATTAATAAAAAAATCCAAAAGAAATTAAAAAAAAAAAAAAGATTTTGCTTTTCTATAAATGCCTTCTCATTATCTTCTACTTTACACCACAATTTCATATTTTCTCAAATACTTTCAACCACATTCTAATCTTTCTCTCAAAGTTTCAATCCAATTGGTTTCCAACAAAATGACTAATGATGCAGGTACAAATTGGACGCTTTTTGAAGATGTTACGTTGTGTTCTAGTTGGGTTGAAATTACTCTTGATCCGATTACGGGTAATGAGATACAGTTGCGAGAAATGTGGAGTCTTATTCATACCAATTATCTTGAGAAAATTGGTGGGAAAAGAACCAAAGAATCGATGTCCAGTCGTTGGAGAATACTCAACCAATCGTTTAGTCTTTGAAGAGACGTCTTGGCACAAGCTAATGCTAATCTTCGAAGTGGGGAAAATTTAGCGGATCATGTAATAATATATTATTTATTTGTTTGTACTATACCTAAATTTACATTAGTTACTTTGATTATAATTATTTCTTCTCCTGCATTGTGTAGATACTTTAAGCACAAACTTGGTATGATGCCAAAACCAAAAACAAAAACAAATCATTCACCTGGTGGGAATGTTGGAATATTGTCAAAGATTGTCTTAAATTCAGAGTTATGCATGTCAGTTCATAAGTTGTCATGAATAACACCCCTCTACACTCTACGCCCGTTCAAGGAATGCACTGTTACGGACAAAATAATCGTCTAAAAGATCCGTACCTCATCGTTGCCTACTTCTATCAATATTTACAGAACGGCTGGACCTGCATATCTGAGCCGCAACTTGGATGACTCGACGGGAATGTGAGGCTCTTTGCTTCTTGCTTTGTCATCTCTCCTTCTACGCTCCTCATCTTCTTCCTCTTCCATCACATTTTCGCCCACCTGGAGATTGAACATTTCTTCTCCTTACTTAAACAATTCTTTTTCTTACTCATCAATTTCCCACAACATCCTTGAAGAAGACATTGTAAGAAGGAAGCAGAAACTATGAATAATGATAGAGATTTTGATTTTGGTGTGCGATTTCTTAGGATGGATAGTGGGTTATATGGAGGAAAAAGAAAGGATTAGGTTGTAAATAATGCCATGTGGCATAGCGTCGTTCGTTAAAAATCTAATCGCAACCTATCCTCAAAGATTGTAAACAAATTATGACACGTGGCGCAGCGTGATTGGTTACAAATCTTATTGGAAATCTATCCTCAACGATTATGAAAAGGTAACGACATGTGGCACGACGGCATTGGATAAATATCTTATCGAAATCTATCACAAAAAATTGTCTTTTTGGATAATGACACGTGGCGCAACGAGAGCGATTAAAAATCTTATCTGAAATTACAAATAAAATTATTTTGTAAAATAAAAAATACCAATATTTTATTGACTATTGCCATGGCTATTCAGTGTAAGGGGTAGAGATGCAAAATGCAGTTACTGTTCACTTGAGACTATTCAATAGTTAGTTGCCCTAGGGGGCCTTTGCAACGCTGGAGTTGCTCTTATGTGTTAGGTGTTGTGCCAAACAAAACATGAACTCAAGATTTTGAGTAATGGTACAGTTACTAAATATTTATACTATCATTTGTATTAGAGAGATAGTATAAATATGTGGTAAACTTAACATTTTGGCAAAAGATTTTAAACAAACAAAAAGATGTACAAAAAAAAATTGGTGCCATACCTCTTCCAAATCTCAGAATCGAAGGTTTTTTTTTATTTTTTTTTATTAGGTTTTTTTATCCAAAACGATCATGCGATTTGAAATGGTGGACAATCTTAGGGACCAAAGTAAGGACTTATGACAATCTCAGTGGCCATTTTGGTTAAAAAGTCTTTTTATTATTAGGAGGAGGAAAAAAGGTTTGAAACTATTTCAATAATATAGGAAGGGAGGGGGAGGGGGGGGGGGGTGTGGGTTTCGATTCGGAGATGCATGAGTAGAAATTCAATACCTTTCAAACAAAGTTTGGTCATCCATTCTTTTAAAATTTATATCAATGTGTCAATAAACGTGAAAGAGGATGGAGTTGGTTTATGAAGGTTTGAAGGGAGTGAGTGAGTCGTGACTGTTGTGTGGAAAGAACGAAAGGTTGGCAGGAGTTTTGGGTGGGAAGAGTTTTTTGTTTACATAATTTAAACTAAATTTCGAATAAATGTTGCAATACAAATCCGAATTTGGCATGCCTCACATTTTATGCCAATAAAATCTTGGCATTACCTATTACACATTCTTCTAAGTTTCTTTTCTGAAACTCCAATTTCCGGGTATTGCTATTTCATACTTCATTACTGATACTGCTTCGCAACAGCGGAGTCGTTTGGGTCGACGGTTCTGATCGTTGAACTGCATTATCAACCTCCATCACTTTCTCCTTTAGTTGTGCATATGTCACGGTATAAAATCCCAGCGAGATCACAATAGATCCAATCAAACTGCACAAGAAATAAATCCATTGATAAACATGATGAAAAGCATTTAAATGCAAAAGTTTGTTTATGTGCCTGAGCATACCTGCCAAGATAAAAGGTGTTGCCAAGGAAAACAACCACCACGACTGCTGCAATGGCGATTCCTAAGGGCTTAAACATGGCTACATAAACAGGCCCCTTCTTGTGCAAGCACCAGACATGAACACTGATGCGAAACACACTCACACAGATTGCCTATAAACGATGAGATCATATTAAAATTCCTTAATAAACACTATAACAAGATTTTTTGTTCTTCTCACCGCATACAAAATGCCGATTATCTCAATGGGAAGCTCCATTTTCCAAGCACTCAGATTATTCCTTTCCACAATTAGAGAGATAACTGTGCATTGAATTGTCAGAAACATGGTGTAGAAGAAGACTATGGTCATTTCTTCCGGGTAATCCTTCACAGTGGCTGCCTGAAAGTACAAGTTCATTTAACCAAAAAGAAGTACAACTTCATGCCACGCTTGATACCAAAAGTGACTTTTTATAGCGTGAGAATGCATGTGTTGCGTGCTGTAAATAAGTATTAAGGCGTGCATCAAACGAGGGATGATCGGGGTAAAAAAGGGATCATCAATCGATTTCAAAACAAATTTACCAATTTGAAATTTCCTCTTAAGAAATAAGTGCTAAAGAAAACCTCCAAACTACATCACAAAAACCATTTACATGTCACAAGAAAATCCCATCTCGAGCAAAGTTTTGCTTGAGTAACACATAAGACAGGGTAAACCAAAATATTCCCAATTTCTAATGCACCAAAGTATGAGGTGAGTTGTGGGATTAAATTTTACCTGAGCGATGTTCCATGTCGAAGCTACGAGGCATTGGATTGCAAGTAGCATACCTCCAAATATCCAGGTTGATGACTGTGAGACGAAAGATCTATGAGTCGAGTGATTCAAGAAGGAAGACAAGGAAGAATTCAAAAGAGCAGGGCCGTCGTAGAGGGTCACTATCAATGCCCCTCCCACTGCTATAATGGCGCCCAAGGATTTGGCATAACCGGTTGCTTTTCTCAAGTCTAGCTTTTCCATCCTAAAGTTGAAGTCCTTATTAGCCAAATACATATAGACCGTCACAGAAGTACATACAATTTATGAACTTAAAAGATATTCCCACCTGAAAATTATGGCAAGCAAGAAAGTGAAAATTGGGGTGAGATTCGCCATTGCTGCCGCAAGAATAGCCGAACTGTTTTTGACACCGGCGAAAAACAGAATTTTCCCTGAGCTCCTGCAGTACAGTTTTCTTCATCATTTATATGTCTGTTTTTCCCTTTGAAAAGAAAGCGGTGGTAGGATGGACTTCTCAGGAGTTCCATCCTAGACCATCCTAGTATTATTCTCGTCCAAACTCACTTAATTTTGGAGTTCGGATCCGATGCATTTGAGGTGGTATGATCGCATCCTTCATCATTTATATGTCTATATCAATTACTTCAATACGAATTTGATCAAGTGAAAGCAACTAGAATTACCCTATTAGGCCGAGGAGAAAGAATTGGCAAATGAGCCTGAAAGTCAAGGGTGGTCGCTTGTTTCTGCAGAAAAAATGAAATTGTACCTTTAAATAGTAGCGGGCACTGCCACATTGAAGTCAACGCTTCCCCAACAACAAAATACAAATAAACTTACTAAGAAAAAGATAATCACACCTTCGGTAGATGAAGAATGGGAGAAGCAAGAGGGTACCAAGAGCATTGTAGTAGACAATGAAGACAAAGTGGCTCATCCCTTCCGCCATGGCAACTTTGCTTATTGTTGATACGCCAACTTCTGCACACTCAACGATTGCCATGGCAGTGAAGGGCACGGCCCCCCATATGCGCTGTTGCCACACCATCTCTTACTCTCTTTTCGCGGTTGCAGAAATCAGAATGCTCCTTGTTCTTGTGAAGAAAAAGTTGCAAGGAGAGCAGAATTTGTGGTGCTCTCTTTCCTCTCACCTTAAGAGCAATATATATATTACTGAGAAGAATTCTCCACTCTCTTATTCTCATCTCCTTTCGTCTCCTTTTCTCATATATTATTTTTATAAAAAAATTAATATAAGATATTGACGTGATTTAACCGTAATTGTTCAAATAGAAAAATATAGAATGATAAAGTGATTAGAAAGGTAAAAAATCCTCTGTGTATTATACCAACCAGTCAGCATCTGTATAACGAAGTTATTAAATACAGTACAAGGTCATGTTTTTTTTTTTTTTAGGTCAAAACAAGTTCATTGTTTTACATACAACAAAAGTCATTACAAGTATCAAACGCAAGCATGCGCAGCATGAAGAATCCAAGAATAAGAGGTTCAGGCAGAAAAATATTTAATAAACATGTGTCTTTCTTTTATACAAACGATAATCAATTTATACTAAATTAATCTAAATTATAAAAAAATAACTCATACTTAAGTGCAGTGAAAAAACCCACTGTTCTAACCAATTTCGTAAAACGAAGATATGACAGAATAAGTTAATTTGAAAAGTACTGCTAATGACGTGCATTAACATGGACATTTCATACCTCAAGTTGCCCTCATTGCCTCTACTCAAAACGGCATGCTTCAAGCCTTAATTTTTTTAATTTACAACTTGGAAAATGACCAACGATATTTAATTTTCTAAAAATAAAGTAATGTTGACTATTTATCCATCGGCTTATTAATTTGCGAGAAGAGATTATTTCTGAATTTCTTTCTTCTAAATCATTAAGTTCGAGGATTCAGATTATTGAAATTTAATCAAACGATTAAAATTAATTTAATTTTTAAATTGGATCATTGTTTATAATCGTTAGATTAAATTTTAATGATCTAAATCTTCATGATAGTAATTTGCTGCAAGAAGCTACAGTAGCACAGAAACCAACTAGCAAGAAGCCAAACTATTAATGTTGAGCTGCTGATGCAGCCTTTGCATTAATTGTGAATGGCCTGCATCACCCACCTGTTAAGACCTTAAGGTGGCAGGACAGTATATGTACTTGCCCTCATTATTAGGGGAGAAATTTTAGTAGGGTTGTCTGAATTGATTGATCGTATATTTCTCATAAAAGAATAAGTTCCCTTGTATTTGGAGAGAAAATTTTAGTAGAATTACTTCTCTATCATTTGTTGGCACCTTGAGTGTAAGACTCGTTCCACATGGTTGTGTAATAGTGATTTGGAATGGCACAATGACGGTGAACCTGTTCCACCTAGTTTTCGTAAATCATCCGACCTCTCACAAGTACAACTCTCAATGCACACGATCTTACTCTTTAAGTCAAGCTGTTATACTCAATTTTCTCTCATTTAATAGAGCTCGTTTATAAAAATTCATTATACATTCTTGTTTCCCAAAATACACCAAGTGAAGAAAAAACAAAATTAAATACAAGTGAATGAGAAAAATGTTCTTTTGAAACTTTTGGTTCCTCTAGGTAGCGTTTGGTACGCAGACGGGACGGGACGGGACGGGACGGAATGGGACGGGACGAGACGGAACAGATGTTCTGTGTTATGTTTGGTACGCACAGGACGGAACAAGACGGTTGTTCCGTCCTGCGTTTGGTAGCACATGGACGGAACGGAACGAAAAGATTAAAATGACTAAAATACCCATGTTCCGCTGTTGTTTGGTACAATTTCATGGGCGGAACGGGACATGACTCTTTTTTTCTTTTCTTTTTTTTTTTTTTTTTTTTTAATAAGTTGTTCAAATTTGAACACTATTATCCATTATTTGTTTTTCTTGGTCCAAATTTTAATAGGTATATGTTGTGTTTCACATGCAAACCCCTTTAAAATTTGTAATTTTCCCCGTTTTCTACACCTCCATTCGAATTTTCACCACAAACCCATCAAATTTTATTGTGCAAATTGCAAAACCCACACCCCAATTCAATTTTTAGTCCTTAATTTTGGTCCTTTCAATTGTGGGTTGTTGTTGTAAGGATGGATTTATAAGATGTTACAATCCTATCACTAAGGAAATAAATAATTTACATAAAATCATAATAAATTGTTGAAGAGAGCTGGAGTATTCAAAGTAGGTGTGGATGGTTGGAGAAATGGCAACGAGAATTAAACTCTTCTAGTGAAAATTTGATGAAATGGAGTAGAAGAAAATTTAACAGAGGAAGGGAGGAAATTGATCATCTAATGCATTATTTGGGTTGCCTCCATGATAATTGGGAGGAACATGGTGAGCAGATTAAGGCCTTGATAGAGTGTATTAACAAATTGAAAGAAAGAGAAAAGAAGTTTTAACTAGGTCTCGAATCAAATGGATGCAGGTTGGGATTCTAACTCAAAGTTCTTTCACTAGACCACCATATAGAATAGATGATTTAATACAGTTGAAAAATTGCAAAACGTTCTGCTGCTGGTTCTTGCCGGACCACTGCACAGCATCCATAATAACATCCCACAAAATCCGCACAACTTCAACATCAGGCAATTTGGCGTCTTTGACACGCTGCTTCACAGTCTCAATGACTTCAGACATATCTGTTTCCTCTGTTATCTGGGTTGTTAAAGCAGATTTCATTTCCTTGAGCTTCACATCGAAAATCTTCTTCTCGTTGTATTCAACTAAGGCGAGTAGCCCTTCCTTACTGAAAATTGATACAAATAAGCACCAAGGTGTGTCAATAAAACAACCTTAATTTTGGTACAAGGTGTGAATAAAACAAAACGAATGTTCAAGTTAACACATACTTCACATGAAAGCCATCAATGAGCAATTGACAATAAAAAATCACATTACCATTTGCGGTACGATGTATTATCATGGGGTGACCAACCAAAGGGACTACTGGGTAAAAATACTTCACAGCATAATCAAAATTCATATTACAATTGACTGATGATAAAGACTACACGAAAATCAACTAAATTTATATGATTCATAGCCCTTCTACGAGAGAACCAAAAGCTTTGAAATATTTTACAGAGATCATACAGAAAGATGAATCAACAATAAAACAAAAGCATCGGCACATCTTAAAAATCAAAGATAAGTCTTATCTCTCAAGATGATCCATAATAAAATTCAATAACAGATCAAACTTACGTGAAATGCTCAGAGAAACTCTCATCAGTTCTCTTTGTGGATGGGAAGAATTCCAAAAGATTGTCTTCCACTTTACCCCGCTTCAGAATGGAGATCAAATCATCAAGGCTATTATCAATCAAATACTCCTTAAAGAAGTCAGTAATGAACGATAGGACTAGCCCTTTGCCAACAAGATTATCCTTGAGCATTGGCTGGAACACCGTTTCCGGTGGAAGTCCTGACAGTGCATCCGGCAAAACACCAGCATTATCCAGATAAATCTGGACCACTGCATCCGCAAAAGCTGCAGTGTCCAGCGGTGCTGCAATATTCCGTTTGCGGGTCTTAATCCGCGTGCCACTGTACATAAAGGAGAAACAAAGGAAAACAAAATTCAGTATACAGGGCTAAACAATTCATACTAATGGGTGTGGAAAACCTACAGTATGCAAAGATGGGCAGATAAACATTGTCCAAAACATACTTTCTTTGTTAGATTTCAAAAATTCATTATAACCTCAAATAATTACAATGCCAGCATTATCAATTCCATTTTATTGAGTAGAGCCTGATGCAACAACTCATTTTACCGTCTTTACAAAAGGACAAAAGGTCATAGGTTATAACTAATTAAAATTGATAAAAGTTCCTTCCTCAACAAACCATATAGTTATCAGTTAGAGAAACCTTGACTCTGAAACGTAAGAAAAACATGAAAGCATATGCAAAATACACAGAGGAAACCAACCAACCAACATAAATAATCCAGAACCTAATTAAATAATAAAACAATTTTCTTAAAGCAAACCAACCAACATAAATAATCCAGAACCTAAAATCAATTATTATCCAAATAACCCTATCACAAGATTTTCTCCAAATTAGAATCGACTACTAATTAAATAATAAAACAATTTTCTTAAAGCAAACCAACCAACATAAATAATCAAAACCAAAATTACCCAAAAATACAGAGGAGAGAGAGAGAGAGAGAGAGATACCTGAGGACCACCAAGTTCGCAGAGCTGCTACACGGAAGAGGACGAGGAGGAAGGTTGCGAAGGGGACGAGGAGGAAGGTTGCGAGGCTGCACAGAAGAAGATGAGCAGGAAGGTGTTGCGAAGGGGAAAGGGATGCAGAGGTGAAGAGAAACGGCTGAGAAGAAGAGATTTTGTTTTTAGGGTTTGTAAACTGATTTTGAAGTTGTAAATTTTGAAAAAGACCAAGGGCATTTTTGTCTAAAAATATTGGAAATTTCTGTCCCACAGACGTGGAACAACCCGTTCCAGGGTGGGGGTGTGGAACAAAAAATCATCCAAAATCTGTTCCGTGGAACAGCGCGTTCCACTCATTTTAGGCGCACCAAACGCGGGACGGAACGCCTCGTCCCACTCTGTTCCGTCCCGTCCCGCGTACCAAACGCGACCCTAGTGAATGAAATGTTGTTTAAGCAATGCAAAAGAGGGGTCTTTTTGGTGGATTGTGTCAAGCCGTGGACTTCCTTCGCCACAAGATTGCTTTTTCTTTTGCTCTTTCCCCCAAATTGTAGCATAAGATGCAATTGCAATGATCATAGATCCAATCACACTACCACAAACATATAAATTTCAACAAAGTTTCCAATGTACTTGACTAATACATGTCTTTTCATCAACAATGCAAATGGATAGTGCATCTATCAGAAGGTTTCGGATTGAATCTAATGATGTAGATATTAAGAGAAACTGTTGCGTACCTGCCAAGGTAAAGCGCGTCGCCTAGGAAGATGACCACCATGAATGCTGCAACGGCAACTCCCAAGGGCTTGAACATGGATACAAAGATAGGTCCCTTTTCGTGCAAGCACCACAAACGAACACCAACTCGAAAAACACTCCCGAATATGGCCTAATTAATCAAAACCAGTGTGTATATCAATTTGAAGGTCAAAGAGACCGAATTACAAACATTCTCAAGGATCAAGTTTAAGGTTCTTCTCACTGAGCAGACAATGGCTATCATCTCAACGTCAGACCTTAGTACCCAAGCGTTTGGATTTGTTTCTACAATTAGAAAAAATATTGTCATTGGCTTGTCATGAAGAAGGTGTAGAAGAATACAGCGGTCACCTTTGATGGAAAATTCTTCACAAAAGGATGTCCGAGGGAGGGGGAAAAATCAAGGTCATAGCAGGAGTTCTTTATTCGCAAGGAAATATGACAATGTAACAGGCTGTTACTGGGTTAGTGTAGGATTACCAGAAAAATGTTCCATACTGCCGCTAAAAAGAAAGTGATTGCGAGGAGAAGACCTCGTAGACCCACATTGTCTGGTCTGAGATAATCAAGTGTAGGTGAAGGAACTCCGCAGTGATAAAGCTGTTAACTTTAAGATTGTTGAGACCTTGTATAGAACAACTACAAATGCCCCAGATACCGACACAAGAGTCCCCAACAATTTAGCAAGACTGCTTGATCTCCTTAAATCCAGTGTTTCCATCCTTGTTTAGAAACTGCTAGCAACGCTAGCACATTCGATCAGTACATAACACGAGAAAAACAAAACAAAACCCCTTCTTACCCAAAAATGATTGCCAATATGAAAGTAAAGATTGGCACAAGATTCGACATAGCGGATGAAAGTACTGGGGAACTGTATTTGATGCCATTATAATCCAATATCTGACCCGAAATCCTGCAACAACGTATCTTTCTTTCTCGTCGTATGATATTTAAGTAAATTCAAAATGTATGCTTTATGAGAGCATTACGCAGATTATGAACAAACAAAACCAATAGAAAAGTTAAATAATTACCCAACTAGGCCAAGGAGGAAGAGTCTACAAAGGAGTGAAAGAGGAAGACAAATCGGCTTCTTTCTGCAGAGTATTGAAAATGTAATTATATATTACATGGAAGTAAAAGTAATCACTATACATATAGATGAATTGCAGAGGTGATACATATGAAATGAAATTTAAGGGTGAGAGAACTACTGTAAAATGAAAAAAAGGAAGGAGAAGGATGGTAGCAAGGGCGTTAGGGTAAAGTAGTAAACGGCAAAAACTGATGTGCTCATTCCTCTTGACATTGCTGCTTTGCTTATAGTTAATACGCCCACATCGTGGTAACACACCAACCCACCTACAACTACAACCAGCCGGCATATCCATGGATTTCATGCCTCTGTCTCTCAATTTAATTTATTTTTTTCATATTTTTTTAATATAGAACTCTCATACATACAAAGTAAAACAAGTATATATACAGGAAGCAGGCGTACTGATCAGGGTGCTATATAATTTATCACATTTTATACGACACGTGGGGAAAAGGCATTGGTAACAAATATATTAATACCTGAAGTGCTGCTACAACAGCCAAATTATGAGGATTCCTCCAACATAATCAAGATATGCTGGATTAATTTAAGGTTAGTGCCGAGTGTATAATCATTATAGCTCTTTTGCTAATCCGATTCACGAATGAAACTTTGCGAGTTAATTTCGTTGTCATATATCTTTTCGCAGATGATATAAGTGTTGATAGATGATATTTTTTTTATGTATGATTTTCATAGATGATATAATGTTAATAAATAAAACACAAGATGGAGTAAATGTAAAGCTTAACCTTTGACAGAAAGCGTTCGAATCTTAAGATCTTCACCCAAGTAGGTCAAAGACAAAGTATATAAAGTGCAAGTGCAAGTTCACTAGGAATGGAGTTAAGATGAGATAGGTGTGAGGACTAGAAATCAGGAAGTACCAAAGAGTGAACACTTTTGCTATCTTGAATCTTTATTGCAAAAAAAAAAAAAAAAAAAAAAAAAAGGGAGGATTAGATGAAGATCTTTACCATAAAATACAAGCTGAATGGATGAAGTGAAAGAGTGCATAGGATGTGTTATGCAACCATATGCTAACACGGCCCCCACACCTATATCACCAAATATCAGAATAGGCACGTGTTGGCCGACACTCGAGGGTGACGAAGCCATTTTGAACATGCATGCAACATATAAAGAAAGAATGAACGTAAACAAAATGTGTAAATTTGAATATAATGAAGTATGCAATTGCAGGATCATGTTCAGAACATACAACTAATCAAGAATAATGTGAAAGAATTAATATAAAATGTTACGAATAAAGGAGTGGGTCCTACACAAGGAAGACTTGATGATACCTATGCGGAAGTGCCCTGACACCGCGATCGAATGCCTCGATTCTAACTCCTGAGGGAGTGCAAAACAAAGGGTGAGTGGATCAAAGTTTATAATAATAATACTAATAGTAAGAAAACCATTTTCTTTATGAACATACTAACCCCTTGTTTGGAAAACACATATATAGTACTACATAGTAGGTTTTCTGAAAACTCTAGCATGCCATGAAAAACGTTCGTAAAATACATATGTGTAAACCAGTGCTTAGTAATGGTAATATAGTCACCCGAAGGCAAATTCGTAAACATCTGTAAATCATAGCAATGATGTACTCAACTAGGGGAATCATAATGGCCCGAAGGCATAACCATCACCCGAAGGTGAACCTCTACGACATTGGGTTACGCTAGTGAAGAACATAAGGGTCCATCACCCGAAGGTGAATCTATACGACTCTGGGTTATGCCAGAGAAGAAACATATATGTATATGTAGTGGGTCCATCACTAGAATATGAAGCTGTACAACTCTGGGTTACGCCAGAAAAGAAATATAGGGTCCATCACTCGAAGGTGAAGCTGTACGACTCTGGGTTACGCCAAAGAAGAAACATATACATATAACATAACACACTGATACTAGCCGTGGCTAGTGAAGCTGGGAGTATGTCATAAATATCCACAACTATTCCTTATGTCCCTAGACGTCTACATACTCGGTTGTGTGTATGTGTTGTATGATAACCCACTAGATAATCACTGAAAACGTATCTCAAAATCTCATATCAAATCCGGAGCTCAAAAACTCAAAGCCTCATCACATAAATCCATGATAATTCATATTCGTAAATCCATAGAATTTCATATACGAAAATCCAATAATTCATAACTTTTAGTAAAATGTAAATTCGATAAATCATAAATATTTTGTAAAAGCAATTTAAATAAATCATAAATTCTCTGTAAACCATAAATATAGAAATTCGTAAAACATAATATAAAACATACTCAATTTATGAAATATGCAATACATGCAAGCCTAATATTTTATTAAAAAAACATGTAATTTGAGAAAGGGTCCACTCACAGATATTTTGTTGTCGGGGTGCTGCTCGAACTAGAGAGGACGATGTCATTTCCCACCGACGCAACTAACACAAATAAGGGCTATTTAATTAAACTCTACTAAAACGATTGAATTTGGGAAAACGGACTGCAGATTCGAATTCAGCACGTCAAAAAACCTAAAGAGGAACCTTGGGTTCTCCTACACCTTGCGACAGGACGATGGCCTAGAAGACCACATGCCACCGCACGCACCGAGATGGGTCGCCGAAAATTCACAGACAACAGCCACTGCAGCGGAGCACAGTACCTTCGGCGAAAGCGCATGATTTCCACGCGTCGACCATGAACACTAGGATTGGGTCTGGGTCAGGTCGGATCTGGGCTTTGGGTTGCTAGGTTGGATCCGGGTCAGGGTTCATGGCCCAAGGGTTTGGGTTACATGGCCTAAAGGTTTGGGACGGTTATTGGATCGGGCCCAGTAGCTGGGTTTTGGATCTGGTTTGGATTACAAGTCGGGTCGACTCGATTTCAGGCCGTGGGTCGGCCGAATTTTGGAAAAATGTCCGGGAAATCCCCGAGCTCCGATTAGCTCAATTTCAGGACTATAACTAACATGCCATATATAAATTTGAAGCTACGAATGAGCGGGATAGAAATATACTTTTCGTTTCCTTGGCCATGGCTAGAGTTGGCCGGAAAATCACTTTAAAGTCATCGGACAAATAAGGGAAGTTTCCCCTCTTCGTTGTTTATGTGTTAATCCGTCACAAAAGTCCACATGGAAGTTAGGAAAATAATGTAAACAGTGATAATGACATGATATGAGGGTTTTCGATCCTTACCCGTCAGTGTGGTGGTGCCTCGGTGATTGGCAAAGAACAATAAATAGTGAGTTTGAGGGAGGAGAGAATTAGAGCGAGAGAGTTTAGATGGGAGCAAGAGGGAGAGAGAGAGAGTTCAAGAGAGGGAGAGAAAAGTAGAGAGAGTTCTAGAGAGAGAGAAGGCACGAAGGAGAAATGGGCACCCCAGAAATGGGGAGAAAGTCTACCACATGTCAGCCAAGGAGAGGCCCAAAGTGGAGAAATATCTCTGATAGTGAAATTACCAAAATGCCCTTAACGTTTTTGAATTCTGTAAAATCTTCGTTTTAGCTCCAAATTCAATTCCACTTACGCCGACGCATTCATAACGATGAGTGCTACAAGGATATGCCAAGGAAACGAATCTTACAAGACATGACAAGATGGTCAACAAAAGTCAATGTTTTTGCCTCTAAGGGCGTTATCGTAAATTCACACTTTAAAATTATAAAAAACTGTAATATTTGGGGATAGGTCGTTACATATACCACTAAAGCTCAAAAAAAAAAAAAAAAAATTAGACGACAACAATAAGGCCAACAATGCTTATGGCATGATATGTTGGGCAGTCAAGCATTAAAGCGTGCAAAAAATAAGTATAGCAGAGATGAGAATGTTTCGTTAGATATGTGACATATGAGAAAGGACATGATCAAGAATGAAGATATCTAGTAAAGTAGAAGTGGTGGCAATTGAAGATAATATGAGTGAAAAGTAGTCTATATCTTGGTTTGTAGACGCAATTAAAGCAATGCCCATGTTACCTGTATCTTCCAAAAAAATTATTTGAAGAGATCATTGCGTATGGTACTACTATGTGGATGATATAGCACCTGATCGTGTTAATCAAGTTCGAAGTAGTAACAATGGCAGATAAACTATTTAGTCCTGGCATTGTCGATTAGGTCATGCATCTTTTGGTTATTTGAGAAAGTTCCATCTTTGTTTCATAATGTTTCATACTCTTCCCTAAATTGTGATGTGTGCACAGTAGCTAAAAGTCACTGAGTTTCGTATTCCTTGAGTTCAATAAAAAAACACGTTCCTTTCGAGTTGATTCATTCTCGAGTTGTCATACATCTTCCGTGGCTCTGCATTGCAGAAGGGGAGCATGTTGGGTGGCTGATGCCGAGCTGTGGACTTCTTTCTCCATAGAATTGCTCTTTTCTTTGCTCTGTGCCCACATCATAGCATAAAATCCAATTGCAATAATCAAAGATCCAATCACACTGCCACAGACAAATTTCAACCGATATAATTTCTGCCTTGATCATAAATCTAATGAAGTAGATATGAATAAAACCCGTTACCTGCCAAGGTGAAGCGCGTCGCCCAGGAAGATGACCACCATGAATGCTGCAATGACAACTCCCAAGGGCTTGAACATGGATACAAAGATCGGTCCCTTTTGTTGCACGCACCATGAATAGACTCCAAGGCGAAAGACACTCCCCAATACAGCCTAAATAATCAAAAGCTGGTATATATCAATCCTAAACATAAAAGATACTTAAATAGCAACATTTTCAGAATCAAGTTTATAGTTCTTCTCACTGAGCAGATAATGGTGGCCATCTCGAAGTCGGGCCTTAACACCCAAGAATTTGGGTTCCTTTCCAGAATTAGAGAAAATATTGTGCATTGGATGGTCATAAAGAACTTGTAGAAGAATGCAAAGGTTGCCTTTGATGGATAGTTCGTAACAATCGATGTCTGACAGATCAGGGGAAAAAAATAAAGGTCAGAGCGGGAGTTTGTTGGTTTACAAGTGATATATCCGTTTCTAGCTATTAATCGTAAATGAAGGTAACCAATACGTACCAGAGCGATGTTCCATAATGCACCAAAGAAGCAACCCATTGTAAGTACAAGACCTCCACAGACCCACATTGTCTGTTCTGAGATGATTAAGTGCGGGTGAAGGAAGTCGGGGGTTGATACAGCCTTTAACTTTAGGATTATCGATCCCTTGTATAGGACAACGACAAACGCCCCAGATACAGACACTAGAGTGCCCAACAATTTTCCTTGGCTGCTTGCTCTCCTTAAATCCAGTGTTTCCATCCTAGTTCAGGAAAAAACACGAAAGGTAATAGTAATTCATCTGATGTGTACATAGAGGAGAGGGGAAAAAAAAAAAACAAAAAACAAAAGCCCTTACTACCTAAAAATGATTGCCAGTATGAAGGTAAAAATTGGTGAGAGATTTGATATTGCTGATGAAAGTGTTGGGGAGCTGTAGTAGATGCCACTATACGCCAATAGCATAGCCGAACTCCTGCAAGTTGCACAAAACTGTATGCTCTACGAAAGCTTTACCCAGATTATGAACAAACAAAACCAAGGGAACATTTAAAAAATATTACCCAATTAGGCCGAGGAGGAAAAGTCTACAAAGGAATGAAAGAGGAAGAGAAATCGGCTTCTTTCTGCAGAGTAATGAAATATGTCATTAATTATATGTTACATTGAGTAAAAATAAACACTATATATGTGTGTGTATGAACTGAAAGGGTGTGAGAGGAAAATTATTACTGTAAAATGAAAAAAGGAAGGAGAAAGACGGTAGCAAAGGCGTTGGAGTAAACAGCAAAAACATAGCTGCTCATTCCTCTTGACATTGCTGCTTTGCTTATGGTTGCTATGCCCACGTCTACGAACTCCATAGCTACCATGCCTGCGAAAGGTAACACACCCCACATACAAGTACAACCTATCTCCATCTCCATCTGAATCTCTCTCTCTCTCTCTCTCTCTCCCCCCCCCCCCAACTAATCACAAAGTAAAACAAGATACATAGAAAGCAGGCATATTTTCCAGGACGAAACTTTCATATAATATATGGATGACCAGAGAGGAAAGGGACAGGTTAACTTATTGGCAACAAATATTAAAAATATTGTCACCTTTTGTGGCACGATAATAATTAATCAAATTGTTGTCTCTTTCCTACAAAACCAATTGTGATGATTCCCCAAGACAAAATGAAGCAAGTGCAGGACTATTCAACATACAAATTAAAGTCCCCACTAATTCTTAAAGAGTGTTACCACTTTTTATTAAAGTTTTAAGGACTAATTTATCCTCTCATAAAATGACATATAAGGACAGTAAAAAAGGAAGTATCATTCCCTCGTCCCTAGCGATTTAGCACACCGCTCACACCCCGTTTTATTGTCGCCTCCTAGCCCTCTCAATCTTTTCTGAAACTTCAACCTCCAGAATGGACAACATGATTAAGCATGCTATTTGATCAAGGTTATGAGACGGACTGGATCTTGTGGACAGGTGATACAAGTGAGGGTCATGTTTCTATTACTTTGTGTAGGTGAATGGTGAGGAGAGAGAGGAAGGGGATGAGGCATTTGGAGGGAAGTTGCTTATTGCGGATTGAGATGCCATTGCCAAACCCGCTAGCCAGGCACAAGCAAAGCATGCAAATTACAATGGAAGTGCAGCATATGTGTATGATTGTTTCAAGTCACTGAAGAGCTCCGCATTTTTCTTTCTATTGTGTTTCAAAATTGTTAAACAAGAGTCCCATGTTCATTAGAAGTATATTGTAATCTGTCAAAGGATGTGATAATTGTAATCTTGTGCATTCAGTATAGATGGGATTATGGGAACTCAGTATCCCAGTAGGACTCTTGTAACTCAAACTAATTATTTATACCAATGAATGCAGCAATAAAGCCAACACTTCCGTCATATTTGGTAATATTATTCAAAGAATTGAAAATAGAATGGAGAACATGTTACATGAGAAGGAAATCAAGCATTGATCGGGCAGTAATGATCGGAATAGGAGGCCAATGAGCAGGGTGTTGGGGGTAAGGGTGCTTAGGGAATAACAATGGGCGGGAAAATAGTATGGGTTTTTATTTACTTTTTATGGTGGATCGATATATAAGATGAGTGGAAAGATAAGATATTAGGATCGGTGTATCAGCACTTTTCTTAAATCGACCTCACACCTTTTACAAGTTTAAATCCCATTTTACCCTCTAAATAAATTTGAAGCTCAATTCTTTTTTATCATATCCTCTGTATCGTTCTAATTTTATTGGATATCCCCGAAGGGACCTCTTTCTCATCCTATTCATGAACAAATTTTTGCAAGTTTCTTTGTCATTGATCTTCCGCCACTCTGCACGGCAAAAGTGGAGCCTGTTGGGTGGCTGATGCCAAGATGTGGACTTCATTCTCCATAGCGATTTTCTGTTCTTTGATTTGTCCCCATATCATAGCATAAAATCCAATTGCAATAATGATTGATCCAATTACACTGCCATAGACATAGATATTAACATGTAAAGGTCATTCGATTAATCATGCAAATGCTTAATCTGGGAATGTTGAGTTGAATTTAATGAATGAGATATAAATAAAACCTGCCAAGGTGAAGCGATTCACCGAGGAATATGACCACCATGGCTGCTGCAATGGCAACTCCCAACGGCCTGAACATGGTTACAAAGATTGGCCCGTTTTGCTGTAAGCACCAAACATGAACAGCGGTACGAAAAACACTCCCAAACATAGCCTAAAATAATGTAAATCAGAACATATCAATTCATAATCACCGTGAAACAAGTTCCATCACAATCAAATTAAGATTTATGGTTGTTCTTACGGAGCAGACAATGGCGATCATCTCGATGTCGGGCCTTAATACCCAAGAATTTGGATTCCTTTCCACAATTAGGGAATATATTGTAGTTTGGATTGTGACGAAAAAGATGTAGAAGAATACTATGGTCACCTTTGATGGAAAGTTGTTAACAATGGGTGCCTGAGAGATGGGGAAAACTGAAAACTCAGTTTCTAAGTGAACTTTCCACTGATAATGTAATGAATATATTAATTGGATTGCAAACGAAAAACTTGTATGTAATCGGGGAAATATGCCATGTGAGTGTCTTGCTCATCATGTGACCTGAGGATATATCCCCCGATTACAAGGTAGAATCTCTTGGATTGCAGGGTACCTGCACAATGTTCCATATAGCAGCCAAAAGGCAAGACAGAGCAAGGAGAAAACCCCCAAAGACCCAATTTGTCTGCTGCGACACGAAGTGCTGGTTAGAAAAGTTTGGTGGTGATAAACCCTTGAACGTTAAGATTGCCGAGCCCTTATAAAGGATCACTATGAAAGCACCAAATACCGATACAATAGTGCTCAACAATTTGGCTCGAGTACTTGATTTCCTTAAATCCAGCTTTTCAATCCTATATAGTTTTGAAAGAAGTTATAAGAAAATGCAAACACGCGATGTGTGCATAAGAAAGTAAAGAAAGGGTTCCATACCTAAAAATGACTGCCAGTACGAAGGTAAAAATTGGTATGAGGTTTCCCATTGCTGATGAAACTGTTGGTGAGCTGTAGTTGATGCCATTATATGCTAATATCAGGCTCGAACTCCTGCAACAATCTTCCTTGTCACATAAGATTTCGATAGCAGTACGAAATTGATCTAGCGATGAGAGCATTCATTACGCAGATTATAATTAAGCAAACAGAACAAAATGACACAATATTCTTACCCAATTAGGCCAAGGAGGAAGAGTCCGCAAAGGAGCGAAAGAGGAAGAGAAGCGGCCGGCTTCTTTCTGCAGAGACAGAGAGAGTAAACGGAAGAAATGTCATTGTTTTACCTTAAGGTAAAAGTAATCACTGATGAACTGCAGAGAAGATATGAAATGAATGGATGTGAGAAATGAGAAGAGAATTATTACTGTAAAATGAAGCAAGGAAGGAGAAAGATGGCAGCAAGGGCGTTAGAGTAAACAACAAAAACATAACTGCTCATTCCTCTTGACATTGCTGCTTTGCTTACAGTCGTTACGCCGACGTCTGTGAACTCCACCGTCACCATAGCCACAACAGGTAACAAAACACCCCACCTGCAACCTACCTGCATATCCATGCTTTCTTCTGCTCTCTCTCTCTCTCTCTCTCTCTCTCTCTCTCTCTCTCTCTACCAAACTCTTTAAGTACTGACAAAGAAGCGTACAAAACAGGCATATTAAAAATCAATCTTGCCATTGTTTGTGGATAATGATTATTATACTAAATTCTGGATTAATTTAAGATTTGTGGACAAGAATAAACTCACAAAACCCACCCACCCCAGATTAAATGAATTTGCTCTTAAGCGTTTCGCAGTAGACTGGAAAGTTGGAGATATTAACAATATGAGAATTAAACTCCTTCCATCTGAATGTTCTGATTCTTATTTTTTGTCCAATCAAAGAATAAAAAATAAATAAAAAGTAAGGCCAAATTTTTTTCATGATCCTTGTGGTGATACCCAACTTTTAAATAGACCTCTCTGGTGAAAAAGTTATTAATTGTAATCATGTGGTGAAATTTGTTATCAATCATAGTCCAAATTAGATTTTTCCTCATTCTTCTATCATTTGTAAGGACAAAATTGTTTTTTTTCGTTTTTATTGATTCCATCAACCAATCATAAAGCATCATATGGACATAAATTTTTTTTTTTTTTAAACTTTTAGAGCTACAATAAAAGAATAAATAAACAATAAAATTTCAAGATTCATATTATCAGACTTTCTCATTTCAAAATAGCCAAGAGTCCAAAATCAAGATTTAAAAAATTACAAAGACATCACCGCGTTTAGATTAGAATATAAGTTATTATATATGCAAACATTGAATTTAGTTTTATTTTAAGAAGAATAGCGTTGGAATGGACGGCTAGGTTTATGTGAGAGAGAGGGGGAAGGTGGTGGGTGGTCGTTGTGGTTGTGGCTGACAAGGATAGGGATTGGGGAGGGATTTTTTTTTTCCTTCTATTTTTGTTGATTATAAAAAAGTGGAATTACCAAAAAGAAAAGAAAAAAGAATGGAATGACCTTTATACCCTTGCATGTGGATGAGATTTTGACAGAAATTTCAATTTGGACTACGATTGATAATGAACTTCACCACAGGGTTAAGATTAACACTTTTTTTACCACATGAGTCGATTTAAAAGTAGTGTCTCACTATAGGGATCAAAAAAAAAAAATTTAGCCAAAAGTAAATGGGTCTTTAAATTTTTATATATAACTCATTTATTAAACTCCCACTTTTATAACAATAGCAGAATACGAATTAAACTCACAGTGTCTTATTCCTATATAAGTATTACACTCACCTTAACCAATGTGGAAGGTATTAGTTAATTAATTTTCAATGATTTTGATTAGAAAATTCTTCCACTAAAGTGACTACAACTCTAGAACTGCTTTATTAAGATAGGGTATTGATATTCATACATTTTTTTTTTTTTTAACTTCTCATATATTCTTGTTATGTCTATTGATTTCTCCAATTCATTTGATCTAGTTGCTAAAAATTAAAAAAAAAAAAATTTACATGAGAAGTATAAAAGTATGTGCGGAAAGCACTCCCTGAAGATATTATCCTTCCACATCTATATCAAAACAGGTCTTTGACACTTCATCTTACGATGTGTCACCCATGTTGTCTGCCATGTGGCTTAACATCTCTTGACACCTGTTCCTTAGCCCCAATGACTGCATTCTTTCTTAAAATAGAACTGCTAGAGCAACTCACTAACTTTATTTTTTCACGATATTATATTCTCATCCCACATAAAAAGTTAAAATATATATAAATAAATAAAAAAATTTTAAAAAATCCTGTTTTCCCACCAATCAATACTCTTTAAAAGTCCTTGCATCAATTCAACTTTTTTTTTTTTAATTAGAATAATAAAAACTGAAAATAAATTAAAAGTTTTAATTTATTTTTTGTTGGAGAAGCCATCCAACGCCACAACCCACAACCACCCCCTTACCCAAAATTGGTTAACCCCCAGGAACACCTTCTAAAATCCCAACCACTCCAACCTACAGGACCCACCCAAAAACCCCGGTTGCAGAACCACATCCCAAACCACCGCATTCGGACCTAGACGGCAAATATTCACAAAGAAAATAGAGACTGGGAAGGAGAAAAAGAGAAAAGAGAGGAAATTAGGGCTAGTTTGGGGGTTACTTCAATTTTTTTAAAAGCAACTTCTAAAAAAAGCTGAGATCTTAATTGTATTTAGTAAAGAAACTTTTTTTTTTTCAAAATTATGGGTCAAAAACAACAGAAAACAAATGCAGCTCTACACAAGCTTTTAAAAAAAGAGTTTTTTTTTTTTAATTGGAGACAGTTGAACAGTACCAATTAATGAAACCCAATATACGACTGACCTTTCAGCATTATGCAAGTTTGCAAAGAGACAAAGAAAAGAGTGGGTTCCTGACCTTTTCCTTTTTCTTGCTGATATTTCTAGGCGAATGTTAAAAGAGTAGGTTCCTGACCTTTTTATCTTGCTGATATTTCTAGGCGAATGTTCGAATTCTTGTGTTGTCTGTTACGAAATCTGTCAATGTACTGCACCTAGGTCAGTTGTTTACTTTAAGTCGATCGGGATCGCGTTTTTAATTTGAAAATTTTGGTTCTGTATGCCTGGATGTCATCGATCGATCGATCGATCGATCAATCAATCTTGGAGAGTACAATATTTGGTAACTATATAAACTTTCACATACAAAATGTTTTATTGTGTATTTGAATTTGATACAAAAACTTCTGCAGATATTGCCTTGTCCTAGAAACATGCTGGCAAACTTTCACGGGGCTCTTGAAGCTTAGTGATGTGGTTATGATTTGTGTGTCTAAGTTACTCGACAATGTGCAAGCAACTTGGATCATATCTAGCTGCTGCAACTATTCCAGGAGGATCAACCATTAGGTTTCGATCCCGAATAGAGGAAAGCCATTCTAAGGCCTTATTCAACGCTTGAATGTGCAAACCAAAAACTGAGGCTAAAACCGCGTTTATGGATAGATGAAAGCTCTTAAGTTACTGAAATCAGCATGAACAGGAACTGGAAGGTTAGGTTTGCTTCTTCTTCTTATTGCAGCCTAGGCTATTAATTTTCACTCTTTCAAATCAAATTATCTCGATTTGGTGTTGTAGTTCATGAGAGGTATTGGCTTGAGGAAACTTTTCTGGTCCCATGCATTTTTCTTTTACGGAATGATATCCTAATCTAAATTATATGGAGATTCGGACTTTAGTGCAAAAAGGAGTACACTGCCTTAGCAACTTGGTCCATGTACTATTACAATCAATTGTAGCTGAAATTTGTTTCATATAAAACTAAACGTATGGGATGAATTAATGATCTCTTAATTAACTTTATGTGATGTAGGATTTGATGATGTAGAGATCAGTGATGAGGATATCAAAGATGAACAGGCTGCTTCGTGGTGATGATAACGTGCATCTCCCCATATGCTATTTACATATGCTGGTAAATTGGATCTTGAAAACAAACAGTACGATATATTAAGTTAGTATAAAATGATTCGGATATACAGTTTCGGCTTTGTTATTAAGTTTGTAAAAATTCGACCACTTGGAGTTACCTAAAAAATTTTGTGCGGCCCTGGTTATAAATACATGTCATATCACACATATTTACTATCTCTCATCATGTTATACGATAAAAGACAGAGACACACGATCAAGTAAAACATTCAGTGACAGATGCGCAACGAGATAAGAAGTTTCAAAGTTTGGCATCATCAGATTGTCTATTTTGTGTTTGAGCCGAATGAAACGCTGTAAACATAATTATTCGAATCTGTTTCAGAAATATCGACTTCAAGCCTGAGCTCATCTAAATTAATTTGTCTTATGCTTTGAGTTTTGTGAACTTTAATACTCCCTCAGGCCAAAGTTGCAGTCGATACGATGAGCCCCCTAGATAGGCAATAGCTATTAATTAATTAAGAGATAAGCATGAAAGCCACGGAAGAATATAAAATAGACAATCATTGTTAGTTAAATAAGTGCAGCACTATAGGATAGTGACCTAATTATTTTGCATTGTTTCTGTACAGTTGTACTGCATGGCAGTCCCTGTTGGATAGATCAACGCTTGATGAATACGTCTCAGCCATTGAATCATAAATTCTTCAAGCATTTTAAGGTGACTTTTTGACAAGATCAACTTCACCAATGGCTTTAGACGGGAGAGTAACTTACCTCAGTGTGACTATAGGTCAAATTAATCAAGCATCGATTTATATTTTCAAAGTCTTATATAATAACGTTAGATTGATTTGAAATATCGCCACAACTACATTCTTGTTATAAGTAATTTTTTCTCTTTCCAAGAACAACTAATATTATACCAATGTTAACATGGTTGATAAAGAATTCTTTTTAAAAGTATTTACGAACTTGCTTTTTGTTTTCATGTGCTACTATTAGCCTTTAGATTGAATAAACCAAATGAGATTAAGTGACCAACAAAGAGAAAGAGTGCATAAGGAGTAAACAGAGTGTGAAAATTACTACGCTTTTCTTGTAAAGTTTAATTCTTTTAAGTATTTCTCATTCACATTAACATATGTCAGAAAATTACACTAATTAAGCATTAATAAGTAATTACAAAATAAAATAAGACTTTGTCACCCCCAAAATCATTGTTCCAAAGGAGCTGGCAACACATTTCCACCCGTCATTAGGCTGCCGGCGCCATATATTTTTCAAATAACTACTTAACCTTAGCTAGCCAACGGCTTTATCTCCTAAGTCTCTAACATCAAGGTAAACAAAAAGACGCCAAGCACTCATTGTATAGAGTCGGCAAATCACATCACCCTTGAGAGTTTGTTCTCCCTCAATCCCACTTATTGCAAGCCCTTTTACACGTACGAACGCTAGATCGATATTTGTTAAAAAAAAATGAATAGAATCTTTGTCTTGGTAATCTTCTTTTCGTTCTCCCTCGTCCTCCATAGAACGCATTCTGTGGAAGTTGAAGTCAAGAACTCACTCATTATCTTCCTTGCGAAGATTTCTAATGGTGTCAAACCCGGCCTCTCGTGGGGTTGGAATCCTTCCTCTGATCCCTGCAAGGACCATTGGCAGAATGTGGACTGTGATTCTCTCAACACTACTGTCACAAAACTCTTTCTCAATGGCCAAAATCTCACCGGCGCGTTTGATGCTGCTTCGCTTTGCAACACGAAACCTCTCGCAGCTTCTCTTACCACCCTTGCCCTTGATGACAACAACATTGCTGGACAAATTTCAGGTGAGATTGGACACTGCAATCAGCTCACTCAATTCACTGTCAGCAATAACCGTCTTTCAGGTACCCTCCCTGAGTCCCTTACTGCACTGAACAACCTCAAAACGCTCGATTTTTCCAACAATCAGCTTACTGGGCTGATTCCGAATTTTGACTTCTCCCATTTCGACAAGTTCAATGTCTCTAACAACAAGTTCCAAGGACCAATCCCTAATACGAAAGGCTTTGTCCAAGCAAACAGCTTCGTGGGAAACTCCGAGTTGTGTGGAGATCCACTGGCAAACAAGTGTCTGTCGTCATCCTTGACAACGGATGGGAACTCGAAAAATTCCAAGGGTGTCTCAAAAAATCAAGTGATATTATACATAGGATATGCTATTTTGGCATTGGTTTTTATTGTGCTATTATTTTTCAAAATATGTACAAAGAACAAAAAGGAAGCTAAAAAGGTTGATGCCGCGAACAAAGTTTCGGCAGTCGATGAAAGCGTGAGCAAAATTAGTGCAGCATCAAGTGAGTTCAAGGGAGGATTAAGCAAGTCCAATTATTCTGTCACAATGTCAGATGATGAGAGCCAGAGCACTAATATGGTTTTGTCTTCACTTATCGTCCTCACGAGCCCTGTGGTGGATGGATTGAAGTTCGAGGACTTGCTCAGGGCCCCTGCCGAGTTGCTTGGGAGAGGCAAGTATGGCAGCCTCTACAAGGTCATCTTCGAGGAGGGGATGGTACTGGTGGTGAAAAGGATAGATTGGGCGATTTCAGGTAGCGATTTTAAGAAGAGAATGGAGAGGTTGTACCAGGCTAAGCACCAGAATGTGCTGCCGGTTCTTGCCTTTTACTCTTCGAAACAAGAGAAGCTTCTGGTGTATGAGTATCAAGAGAATGGAAGCCTCTTCAGACTCATCCATGGTAAAAACTTTTTGCATATTTTCATAAAATATATAGATATTTTGTTATTTGTGAAATGATTTCTTTAGGCCTCTTTTCCCTTAGTCCACATTAGTATTTTTATTTTATATCAAAAGAAATTAAGGAACAAAATTAAAAGGAATTGCAAGGAAATCATTTCCTCATTGTTTTGTTTTACACTAACTTTAGTTACGAAATGATGTAACATGTGATGTGACAATATATTACTTGCTAGAAAAAAAAACGAGATTCGAAGTCTGGTTTTCTGTTTTCTTTATGTAGAATGATTCTACCCTGTAGTAACAACTGTATGATTCAGGAAGCCATAGGGGCCAAGCATTTGACTGGAGCAGCAGGCTCTCCGTTGCTGCTCGCATAGCAGAAGCTTTAGCTTTCATGCATAAGGAGCTTCGCGCAGAGGGGATTGCGCACGGCAACTTAAAATCTTCCAACGTCTTGCTCAACAATAAAATGGAGCCCTGCATAAGTGAATACGGCCTCATGGTAATCAAAGATTTAGACAACCAAACACCGCGCAAGGCTTCTAGGACCAGCAGTACCTCAAGCGCCTTCAACGGGGACATTTACGGGTTTGGTGTGATCCTTCTTGAGCTACTCACGGGCAAACTTGTGCAGCATAACGGCGTGGATCTGACGGTTTGGGTTCACTCAGTGGTTCGAGAGGAATGGACTGCAGAAGTGTTTGACCAAACCCTAATGTCGGAATATGCGAGTGAGGAGAGGATGGTGAACCTGCTGCAGGTGGCTATAAAGTGTGTGAACCGTTCTGCGGAGGCTAGGCCGAGCATGGACCAAGTTGCCATAATGATCAACACCATTATAGAGGAAGAAGAGAGGTCCAGAGTCTTTGATCCACAATCATCTATGAGCCTAATTTGATTACGAAAATAGTTTTTCCAATTTAAGCCCATATTTATCTATATTTCCATGTAGTAATTAAGTCCATAATAGCATATTATTTTAGAGAAATGTTTGTATTTTGAACCAATAAGAGTATAATATGCAGCCACTATCTCATGTCTTAATTGAGATCTGAGTTTTGTTGTGATATTTTACTCTTTTAACTGTGCAGCAAAATTGCTAGCTAGAACTAATCCTTAGGCTTATCTTAGAAATCTTTTGGGGAAAAAAAAAACACATGGATCAAATTGATTTAGATTTAAGGAAAGAAATTGAGAAATTTTTTTGGCTGCAATCTAAAAGACTGAGATTGCATAGCCCAGACATAGCTTGACAAAGTTGACTAAAGCAGTGTGCTTCTTTATCTGTACTCAAGTTTGAATTTTCAATTCCAGACATAGCTTGACAAAGTTGACTAGAGCAGTGTACTTCTTTATCTGTACTCAAGTTTGAATTTTCAATCCCGTAGTTTAGATTATATTGGAAAAGCTAATATCTTTTAGGCACAAGAGCAGCAGTGTGCTCTAGCCTTTGCTTGTTAGGTAGAGGGAAGCAAACCTTTTTTCAACTGCTAGAAACTGCTTTAGAAACTGGGCTTGTTTGAGAGGCATCTATAGGTTATCAAAATGCATAATATGAAAACATGAAATTTTGTGAGAACCCCCAATTGCCATTTGAAGTAGTGTTGTGCTAGTAATCATGAATTGCAAAACAAAATTAGCAGTCCTGTACGAACCACTGATTGTCTATGTATTCTGAAAGGACCCAACAACCACTGATTGCCCACTCAACATTGGAAGTCCAGGGCTAAAGGTGGCTATTTCAGGTTCTTATCGTTCTGCTCTTTTTCTATTGTTTTTCTTCATTAATTTTTTTTTATTTATTTAATTTCAAGGCTAAAAAAAGTGCTTAGGTGGAAGGCGAAGAAGGTCTCCTTCCCCCGGGTGCGCGCGCGCGCGGGGGGTGGGGTGGGGTGGGGGCGCCCAAGTCTTCAACGAGATATCACTCTAGAAGAACTAGAATTCTAACCTTGTATCAGGACCTACGGGCCAAGGGACAGTCTCAAGTAGATAGTTCACAAAGTAGGCGCCCTATTCAGTAATACGGGATGCCCTTGCATAACTTCCTGAAGTATTTCCCATACAACCGGCTCTTTTTCCCGAATTTTACTCTTAGCAACTCCTATATTCGAAGCAAAGTGTTGTCTAATTAAACCACGAATTACAAATGTCTTATTAAGCTCTATTGCTATTTCGCGAGGCAATCCACATCGATGTAATGAAAGTGAGGGACCTACGACAATCACAGAACGCCCCGAATAATCGACCCGTTTGCCAAGCAGAGTCTCACGAAATCTTCCCTCTTTTCCTTCAATTACATCTGAAAACGATGAATAAAAAGAAAATAAGATAGACCAAAAAACTGTCTTTGATTTGAACTCACCCAATCAAAAATCCTTCAATTCTCAAATCAATAGAGAATAGAATAAACCATCCCCATGTGTCATAAGTTGAACAATCTAAGCTTAATGCCTATGATTAATTTGTAGAAATTCATTCTTGAAGACTATGAAACTTGTTACTTGCGTCAATACCAGATCGGTACATTTTGTTATTGACATATTATAAACATCTTATCAATATTATGTGGGATCCCCTATTCTTATTATTATTTTTTACAAACAATATATATAGAGAGAGGAATATTTGAACTTGGATACATTACAGAAAACACATCATCTTTAACCAATGTGATCTTATGCACACGCCTAAATTGATCTTATGCACACGCCATGATTATTATTCTCTCTACAGTGTACCCCGATAGTTTGCGTGGCAAATTAAACATCATCAAATGGCAATTATACATTTTTAACTAACAGGTGAAGAGATTGCTTGGGGGGGGGAGAGAGAGAGAGAGAGAGATAGAGACATCTGGGCAGACTAGCCTTGGGATAATGTACCTAACTGCAGGCAGCCTAAATTATTTTGTCATCTTTCTTATCATTTTCCAACTAAATTATGATTGCAATCCAAAACCCTCACCTAATTACCTAATTGCCTTTAAACTTAAGATAAAGTATATATTCACAACTTCATGCTTTAAAGGCACACCCAATTAACCATCATGCACGTAATATCATTAACCTAAAATGTTGAAAAATTTAACAGATTAGCTGAATGTAAAGTTGCACTCATAACTTACTTACACTTCACTTTTTCTTTATCAACATGGAGAAAAGAATCGCACTTCCAAACTCTTTTAACATTGAAATGAAAATATCATCACACTGAGATTAGTTTAAAATAGAATAGGGAAATTATATTCACACATCTCAAATTACTTCTCCCACATCTTTTTAATTTTTTAATATTTTTCTATCAAGTGTTAATAGTTTATAGAAAATATTAAAAAATTAAAAAGGTGTAGGAGAAGTAATTTGAGGTGTGTAAATATAATCTCTCAATATAGTATAATCCTAGTTATACTCGAGTTCAAATCTCCATCTCTTCAATTTAGATTAGTTTAAAACAGAATATCATTTGTATAAAAAGAAAAAAAGTGACGGAACCATCATATAATAGCGATCACGTGTCAATAACATATTAACAACAAAACATTCGTTAAAAAAAAACACAGTTATCTTGGCCAACTGACCTACTTACTTCTAAATCCATCACCAGAAATGGCGCACATAATTAGGTTCAAAATGGAGTAGGGTGTCACATCTCTAATGCTACCAAAATATTTTTATTTTTTCCAAAACTCAGCCACTTGGATGTGCCTTAGAAAAGAAGTCATCCACCCGGTTGGCTGGTTCGTTATCCTACACCCTAATCCACCGGAATACAGACAAGCCATTTTGAGTTCAAGCCCAGGCCCACCTCGAAGCCCATGGTTGCGGGGTTAAGCACTTTGTCGCTTACGGTTGACCATACGATCCCCACGCGCTCCCTTCAGCACGTGGGAGCTAAACGTTAGTTTTCCTTTTTGGCACTTTTGGAACTCTCGCCACTGTCACTCTTCTGGCGCTCTCTGCTTCCATCAATCAAAAACTCTAGAGAGAGAAAGTGACACTTTTGGAGAGAGAAAGAGAAACCCAACTTCACTTTCCTCTTCTTTCCGCTGTACACTTACCACCGGAATCAAAAGGCCGGAGTCTTTAGGGTTTCTTCTTCTCTGCTGCAACTTGGAAGCTAGCAAAGAGCATCGTTTTGCTGTAGAGCTTTTGAAAATTACATGAAAAATGGTGGATTCCTCAGAAGAATCAAGTTAGGTATGCTCCTTTTTTTTATTCCGCATTATTTTTGTCAGATTCTGTTGCGTTATCAGTCATTTTGGTATGAAAATTGAAAGCATACATACCGACAATAGAAGTTAGATAAAAATATTGGTATTTATCTGCAGGAAAAAAAAAGTTGGGGATGGAAATCTGGCGATGATGGAAGAAGAACTGGGAAAAGTGATTGAATTTGGCTTTAATCCCATGAAAAATGAATTGGGTTTGTGTTTGATTAATCTCTGAGTAAAGAGAAGAGCATGGTCATTGGTTGTAACGATATGTATGAACATTGAAGGGGCTCGTAGCGTAGTTGGTTAATAGCATTCGCCCTTGCATTCGAGCTCCGGTGTTTGATTTCACCCTCCCCAGTATCACTTGTATCAGAAAGCTTTATGATACCTCGAATGGCAGAGGGGAAAGATCTTAGATGGTTTTCTGGGCACACTCATTTGAAGATGTCTTGGGTTCAGCATCAAATCCAGGTTAAAGATGGTTATTTGAGCTACCCTCCTCCTTTTTCTCTTCAATCTTCACCCCCATATGCTGGAGCTTTTCGTAGTGAATCGAACTCGAATCCATCACCACCGTCATCAGCCGGTTCAAGAATTAGTCCCGCTTTGCTTTTTATAATAGTGATTCTGGCTGTGCTGTTTTTCATCTCCGGTTTGCTCCACCTGCTCGTTCGATTTCTTACTAAGCACCCGTCTTCCTCAGCAGCTTCTCAGTCTAATAGGTACCCAGAAATGTCTACTGCTGATGTTCTTCAGAGACAGCTGCAGCAGCTCTTCCACCTTCATGATTCCGGTCTAGATCAAGCTTTTATAGATGCACTACCTGTTTTCCAGTATCGTGATATTGTGGGTGCGAAAGAGCCGTCCGATTGTTCTGTTTGCCTTTGTGAGTTTACCGAGAAGGACAAGCTCAGATTGCTCCCTACGTGTAACCATGCTTTCCATATCAACTGTATAGATACTTGGCTGCTATCAAATTCAACATGTCCTCTTTGTAGGAGTACCCTTTTTAATCCCGAGTATTCGATTGAAAACCCAATTTTTGATTTTGATGACTATAGAGAAGAAGAAGGGTATCCTGGTAATGGAGAAAACGGGTTTGCTTCAAGGCAAAAAACCGTGGACATTGACGAAATTGTTGTCGATAAGGGGATCTTGCCTGTGAGACTCGGCAAATTTAGAAAGGTAGATGCTGAGGTAGAGGAGACAGGAGGAGGAGAGGGTAGTAGCAGTAGATTGGATGCAAGAAGATGTTTTTCAATGGGTTCGTATCAGTATGTGCTTAACGATTCAGAACTTCGGGTTCCCTTATCAAATGATCAACTAGGCCGCAATGTAAGGCCAACAAGAGGGATAGAAAACAGTGGTAATCTTTCAATTGATAGTGACATGGAGGGAAAGAAGATCAGCAGTGTGACTAAGGGTGAAAGCTACTCTGTTTCCAAGATCTGGCTCTGGTCGAAGAAGGGCAAGTTTTCAAGCTCGATAGATACTCAGATGGGCATGCCTTCGTCTCTTAACACAGACTTGCCATGGATGAATAGAACGCAACCAGAATGAGAGGTATATTCTTTATAGTTTCCATGGTTGCTTATTAATCCAATGATCAAAGCGTGTTACGCCTTAGTCTAGTTTCGCCTTTCCAAAATTTTTGTAATGCTAATTCTGTACCTGTGATGATTGATTTCGTACCATATCGCGTACTTTTTAAAAACCAGATATAATGTCTTGTGAAGACGGGGTTTTCTAATGTTAGGGAATGACAATGCTGGCAGCCGTAGATATGTTCTATGCCAAGGTTGTGGGAAATTTGCGTTAATCTTGTCACATGGATTGCGCTTTCGTGCATTTGTTTAACGCAATTTCAAAGTTGCGGAGGTTATGTAGGTCGGCAAAGCAAATGTTGTTGTAGTTCGTTCGTAATGGGATCCATGGAATTAGCTCTAAATTGTTTGCAGTTAGAACTTCATTGCTTCTATCTTCTGTATATGTTTTCTCCAAGATCCTTGTTTGGCAAAGATAATTTGAGACAAACAACAATCCAATCAATGCTGGTTTTAAGCAACGATTCTCCTGTTGAAGGTTTTGACCTTTGCCTTTAAAGGTCTCAATTGACAATTTTCATGAGCCGATCTATGGCAAGGAGAAATTAGTCATTGTTCCGAGCATAACCTGATATACCAAATGTAATAATACAAGTGATTAGAATTTATAACACTTTGAGTATCAGACTGTATTTCTGGCACATTGAAAAACATTTCTATTGCTAGGGGTCAAGTCAAATGCATTTTCCTTTTCTTGCTTTTGATTGGTCGGAGAAGTGGTTTTCGTTCTCTTATTTTTTTTCTCCAGCATTTTTTCATGTTTTTCCTAATCTTCGGATTGAATGATGGTAAGGGACAGGGAAGCTGAAGAGTGCAGAAAGTGGGGATCCATGAAAGCTGTGTGACAGACTGACAGAATCTTTTGCTTCTTGGGAAATGAGACCTTTTATTCAAAAATTGGGTGTAGTAGGTGCTCACTTTTTTCGACCCGACTTCTCTGTCATTCCTGTTCTTATACATTCTTATATCATCCTATTTTGTACGATTACGATTAAATTATATAAATATTTTATGTTGATTTTTTTACGAAGATAATAAGATAAAAAATAATAATAATATAAAATATTGACGTGACTTAACCGTGACCGTACAAATAAGAATGGATGGAAACTAGAAGGGCAGAGAAGTCAGGTCCCACTTTTTTGCCATTCCCATGTGGCCATGTTGAAATCAAAATTCCCCTCATAATTTCAAAAATTTGTGCTAAAATAACAAGCAAAAAAGTTAAGGTTTCCACATTGTATTTTGTATTAACTCAAATAAGATAATAAAAAAAATTAACTATAACCAGTGATTTTGTTTTGGGAGAAGAGTTGTCAACTGAACTGGCTCCTAACTACTAAAAATATTGTTAAAAAAATAAAAATTAAAGAGGTTGTACCAAGAAATAGATATTGTTTTTTTTTTTTTTTTTTAAAGACCAGTAATTTACTTCTTCAGGGGCCGAAAAGGTGTCTAGAAGCATTTTATCCTCTTCTAATCACTATTGTGTAATTCATACGCATCAATAATTGAATTCAAAACATGTGTTGTAAAATTCAAATATAAAGTTCGTCGCCATGGTCATTTGGTTGTTTCAAGAAACAAATTTGAATGGTACTACTTTATGTGTCTACTTTGGGATTGGATTGGAATATGCAGATTTTTTTTGTGGGTCAAAAGGATCACACGGTCACCAATGCACCAACGAATAAATAAAAGTGTGAAGATGCCCTCTTTTATGTATTTTTGGGCTCCACAGATTCCCCTTGATAAGTACAGTAGAGATGTCCGCGCAACGAAAATCACAGGATAAGATAAATCACAGGATAAGATAGATTAGGGATTTGTCCCTTGTACATAGGCTATAGCTACGGCTGTGCGTTGAAAATCGAGATTCATTTGTGACTTGCCCCTTGTACAATTGTATGGCACAAGTTAATTAGCGCTCGTCTGACGGTGCTTTTAGGAGAGCTGAAAGCGTTTTGTGGAAAAAATAAGATAGTTAAATTTTGAATTATCAAATGGGCAAGCTTGGTAACCAATAGCGTTTCGGTGCCCTATTGAGTAAGGGTCGGTGTTTGTAAAAATGTCGAGCTGAGAGGATTTGCCTGTATTTCGGTCATCCGATCAAGGACCCTCAAATGAGTTAACCAAAAGTTTGTCTTCACCGACCGAGAATATATTTTCTTCCCGCTATAATACTCATTACGCGACTGTGAAAGATGTAGAATATTTCAAGAATATAATATATATATATATATATATTTATATTGTATGATTGTATATAATAAGCATATGTATATGCGTGCGTTCTATATTGGCAGAAAAGCCTTGGGTTCTTTGCCCAATAATTACATCTCTTCAATTTGAAGCATTGCAACTTTTCATTGTTGCTAACAAACATATCCATTGATTGGGTATCTGATCGCATACTTTATAACATATATGATCATTGGGTAATTGGTGTTTTGTATCAGATATGTCTTTTGGATATAATGCTGCAATAAGTTGTATCACATGGTGAAAAGGCATACTCAAACCAAATGATGTGTCTAACGGGTGCAATACTCTCTATATATTAGTAACATTGGCATAAGAGAAGATTCATTCAGAAATTTGTTGTCTACATAATTTCTTTGCTCTCTCTTCTCTCTCCACCACATTCATACAATTTCTTTCTAGTTATTTCTAAGGGAATACAATTCGGTTTTGCTAATCTAATATTTCATACTTTGTTGTATCCTGTAAGTGATTTACCAAGAACCATTTAGCAAACTCATTCGAATAGGGACAAATAACACTTTAAAGAAACGATTCAAGTCGTACCTCAAAATCATCATTCGGATTATTCTCTGTATTATATATTTATTCTAACAAATGAAAGTTGACAAAAGATAATTATACTGGTTTGGTGCTCGGAGAAAGAGAAAATATAATGATGGAAAGGAAGATAAGAAAAGTGGTGATGATGGAGAAAGGGATGACATGCGGAAAGAAAAGATAAGCAACTTGCCCGTGCTTGTGGCTTTGTGGGTGCCTTCCTTGTCAAAACACCACACACAAGCACGCAAAGCAAATCCCTAGTAAAAGTCTAAACTCTCGTTTCCTAGTTAGGATTAATAAGGTGGATAACTCGACATATTTGAGGTACGTCGAAGGCAGAATAAAGTAATTGTGGTCAACTTGAAGGTAGAAGAGGTATGGTTGTATTTTTTTTTATTTGTAAGTAAGAGTTTTTACATTCGATTCTTGCTAAAAATGACTTCAAACCAAATTATTATAACTAGCCTATAGTGAAGTTTAGCCAACTTGGCCATCCTTAGTGTAGATAATATCAAAAGTATTCAAAACTTAAAGGTAGAAGATGTACTTATTAAGAAAGTTGAGCTATTATTCCAAATCCCCTTCAAAATATGATGATTATATGAATAAATTTTTTGCATGTCTAATCCTCTCAAGATCTAGTTAGGAACGAATTTCAAGTCTGTATTCTATACAACTTGTTATGGGTTCGATTCATGGCGCTGGTGAACGATGGTAGTCAGAGGGGGCTGAAATGCTTCTATGAGTCTTCCCAGCACCTGGAAGAGAGGACTGGCATGGCGAAGCCACCATGTGGTTCCTTTTTTTATTTTTATTTTTTGTAACAAATGATATTATCTATACTAAAGTGGTGGGTGAGTGAGTTAAGCCTCACAATAGGTTAACAATAATGTAGTTCGAATTCGCCGTTGGCGAAAATCAAACCTAAGACATCTCACTTACAAGTAAAGAAAAATACCACTAAACCGTAGTATTAAGTGATCATTTACCTTTACTTTTATTATCCTTGAATCTTATGAGTTATCTATTCTAATTCAATCCTAGAGACCAAATGAGGCTTAAAAGGACAACAATCAAGTCAGTAACACAAAAACAACTTACATACAATAAAAATGTCAAGTTAATGCTCGTGATGTCGGTAAGCTTGTAGACCGACATCACGACATCTCACTTGCATGCAAGTTTCTGTGTAGTAACACAAGCATTGAAGAACTTTCCGAACCAACATATACACTTCCAACTAGAGAGAATATATAAATTTTAGCCAGGAATCAATATTTCATGATCTGCCATTTATTAATTAAATGAACAAATGAAACAATGAAAAAAATCTGATCGTATATTTTTAAACTTAACCAACAGTCACGGCTTCCTAAATAGCAAAATAATCAAACGCCGCCGCGCTCCTCTATTCTCCTCCGCCGTCAACTCTCCCGCACAAACAAGCGCGCAGCGCACCGAACACCCACCATCAATTTCCTCTGCTTTCTTTCACACGCTCTCTACGTCCGCTCATCACGTGACTCTCACGTCAAGGAGGGGGAGTCGTTACTCAAATCCATCGACGACTTGGCCGACGCCGGAATCGACGCGTACCGGCACGAGAAATCCCTGTACAAATAATCATCACTCAAATTACCGTTCTGCCCCGGCCCTTCGTCGAAGTTGAGGGCGTAACTCATGGGGTCGTATTGGAATTTCACGGACGGCCTGGGTTTGTTTTTGTTGAACCGTCGGATGAAGGTCTTCCACTTGGGACCCGCGAGGAGCTCCGACCACTCCCGGATCTTCTTCCAGCCGCGGTTCCACCACAGACCCTCGCAGTCGCCGGTGGAACGGATCCGCTCCCACGACCCGTCGGGAGAGGAGGGTTCGATTCCAAAGTAGGGGATCCAGAGACAGCACCCGCTTCTCCTCGCGAGCATCAATTCTTCCCCGTCATCGGATTCAGCGGCGGAGTCCGTTTTCGGATTCGGAACGGCATCGTACGCAATTTTTGATGCCATAAAAAAACCGAAAATTGGGAAAATTAGGGCTCAGAAATCAGAGGGAAAATTGGGCAGAGAAAGAGAAAGATTTAAGGATTTTCGATTTGGGTAAAATCCCTAAATCCATAAATCTTTCTCTTTCTGCAAACCCTATCGCCCTCTCTCGATCGATTGCTCTCCGGATTTTCTGATCCGGGAGCGAGGAGTTTGAGGGAGACAAATATAGGTCGATTTGTAACGGAATTCTCGCTGGTGGTGAAATGTATTTTACCGTGCACCGGCTGCCAGGTGTTAATCGGAGAACCAGCAAAGTTTTAACGGTCGAATTTGGTGAGTTTACCAAAGAGGGTCCTCTGTGGCGCGGGAGCCAGGTCAACGTTAACTGGACGCGATGAGGGTAATATTGGAAATTTGGTAGTTTATGTAATTCCATCTGTCACTGGCGGCAACAGACTGTTTGTGATTAATCATATTTTTAATTTATATTATCAATTCCAGGTTAATTATGGGGGAATTTTTTTATCATCAATTGTTTTATTAAACAGATTGGCTTGTCCAAAACCTAGAAAATGAATCGCATATTACGCTTTATTAGAGTGCGGGAAAACAATTATATTTATGCACTTTGATTTGGGTTTGATCCCCATAGATCCTTCTACCTCCTAACAATTAATAATTTAACTCACTAACGTTATCGTTTGTAAAAAAAATTTAGAAATTGAGGACTCATTTAGAAGTGCTTTTAAAATGACTAAAAACACTTTTGGTGAAAATGTTTTTTAAATCAATCATTCGTAAAAATGCAAGTGAATCATGAAAAAGCACTTGATGAAGCACTTCAAGTGCTTTTGGAATCCAAAAACATTTTCTCTAAAATCGTTTTTAGTCATTTTAAAATGACTTCCAAACAAGCTTGAATGAAGAACATTGTAAGATACTGTCAAGGGTTATTAGTGATTCTAACATGGACTTCCTTCTTTTTAGATTTCTGGGTACTAACTTGAAAAATGAAATATGCATGTCCATTCAGGTCATTATACTTTCTTTTTTTTTTTCCTTCTGTTTTTTTTTTTCATTTTTGTCAAAGAAAGTAGGCTGGCTGGCAAGCTGGGTTTGACTGAGCATGAAGCACATTTAATCTTTTTCTTTTCCTTGACCAACAAGTAAGCACCCATTTTTTCCTCCCTTGAAGTTGAAGCAAATTGTTGACTTGTAGGATCAACGTCGTTTTCT